TAGTGATCCTCCTGTTTTCAGCCTCCCAAGCACTGGGATTATAGGCATGTGCCACCATGCCCAGTCTCAATAGCTGTCTCAGTGCACCCTGGGGGCAGGACTGGCACACCAATAACTTCAATAGTAATTTTGCTCTTTCTCAATGGAACAAAAATGCATCTTACCTCATTTTAATTTTCTATGTTCTTTGAGCCTGTTTCTCACCACTCACTTTATCTCTTGTTCTTGCTGCTTATTCTGCAGAACTACAGGTTGATTAACTAGTGAGTTTTAATGTCTGGTAGTGAAATGCCTTTGTTCACTTTCAATGCATCTAAATTTTATTGGTGATTCTCATATTTTCCTTTATATAATTTAAAATAGGTTTTCTAGCCATGTTATTGTTTTCTCTTAGGATTTAGTGAGATTTGTTAGGCTAAAACTATCAGCAAACAACTTCCTACCTGATATTTATACTGCTAGAATCAGTTAGCTTTGTGTCACTATCAGCAGATTCCTGAGGCTATTTATCTGTAAAGGGAAAAGGATGATTTTGGTGTATGGGTCTGAAACTTGCAGTCCAACATGGAGTGGTTTGGCATTATGAGTCTCTTATGGTGAGAGAGGGTGGACGCAAGTTCTCTCCACATGAACCAGGAAACAAAATACGAGACTCAAGATGACTGATGTCCACAATTGTCTTCCAGGACATGCCAGGACCTCCCTTTCTATCATAACTGGGCTCCTTGTCTCCATGTTTTTGTCATCTCTATTTCCATCCCTTTACTTTCTGTGTGCATCCCCAGAAGGATGGGGAGACTTACTGCATGTATATAGCTAAGTCCTGGTGTTTTAAAAAATCCTTTAAGTCACTGCCTCTTTTTATTGTAGAATTTCAGTCATTTACGTTGCAGGGAATCTTGATAAGTAAGGAATTACCTCTCAAGTTCTGAGCATTGAGCCTGGGCCTTTGCACTGAGTTACAAACCCAGCCCTATTATCTTGAGAAGGGTCTCATTAAGGTACTCAAGTGGGGCTCTGATCTGTGACCTTTCAGTTTCAGATTTTTTTCTTCTTTGTAGGTGTTTATAGCTGGAAACCAATTTTTTGGAAATGTTATATACTATCTGTTTATGTGTGTTGCTTTTCCAGTTTAATTTGTTTTATAATCCTTATTAATTGTTCTTTTCATTTTTTTCTGTTTCTATTTCTTGGCCTGCAAATGTTTATGAATATGTGAATTACCTGAAATTCACCCTGTATTTCTTTCTTGTTGTAGAGGACTGTGGTCAGAAAATATATTAAAAACAAATTGAACTTAAATTTTCTGATTCTTCATTTTGTAATCTACCCTGGATAATGTTCCATGAGCCCTTGATAGAAGGGTCTATTCTATTGCTGTTGAATAGAATAGTCCACATATTATGTCCTTTGTTCTTTTTTTTTTTTTGTATTTTAGGGAAGGGTCTATAGAGTGTTCAGGATCTTACTACTAGATCGGACTCATAGTGATCCACTTGTTTACAGCCTCCCAAGAGCTGGGATTACAGGCGCATGCCACACACCCAGTCTCAATTGCCTTCTCAGTACACCCCAGGGGTGGGGCTGGCATGGCACCCTGGAGGATCCTCGGCCCTTGCACCTGCCTGCAGGCACTTTAATCCGCTGAGCTATTTGGCTGGCCCTTGTCCTTTGTTTTGACATGTATTTATGTTTAAGGTTTTCCATAATAGCTTTCATAGGTATGATAAATCTATTTCTGAAAATGGGGAAATGTGGACCCCCCCCAATGTTATTATCTTGCAATTTATATCTCCCTTCTATTACTTTAATATTGATGTTTTATATTCAGGTGGTCTGTGTTGGTTATATGTACATTTTTATTTTTAAATATGCATAATGACTCAACCCATCTGTCATTATATAGTATCTTTTGTTTACTCTTATACAGTCAGTAATTGACTTAAGATCAGTTTCATTTGATAGACATACAGCATTTGTTGAGTTAACACTCAACAAATAGAGGTATTTTTCCATCCTCTCCTGGTTGTTCTTTGTGTGCCTTTGAAAGTTAGTTTTTTTTTTTTTTTTGCAGAAGAAATCCATTAGGTCTTCAAAAAAACCCAAATGGATGCATGTCTTCCTTTTTTTGTTAGTTTTGTTCTCTTTGTTTAACAAAGACTTTCCTTATTTTATCTGTGTCTTCCTTTATCTGTGTTTTTATGGAATGATATTCCTGAAATCCTGTTATTGTCCTGAATTCTCTCTGCTTCTCTCTCTCTCTCTCTCTCTCTCTCTCTCTCTCTCTCTCTCTCTCTCTCTCTGGCAGAACTGGGAATTGAACTCAGGCCCTTGAGCTTGCCAGGCAAGCCCTTATTCTACTGAGCCATCTCTCTGGCCCTTTGTTTTTTATTTTTTTAAAGCAATGTTCTTATTTTCATGTTATCTAAGCTTTAATTAAATTTATATATATGTGTCTGTATAATTCACTGCTATTCTTTCTAAACACTAAGCTGAATTTCTTTTTTCATATTATAAATGTTCATTTCCATGCCATCAATTATTAGATGTCTATTTTTGAAGTTGTTTTGACTTCCTTAGTCTTCATAATCTTTCGATCTTTTTGACTCAAATTAAGGTCAATATTGATGACAATGTTCCTGACCCAAGTGGTAAGGGTCTGACACATAGTACTAGATTCTACCTGATGGATTTATTTTACTGTAGTTTTCTGGGAATCTGTATGCAGAACATGGGCCAGGTTACTTGGGGAACTCATGGTGGCCATCACTCAGCATGGCTGCTGTGAAGGCCAGTTAGATCTATGTGCTGTGATCCTGGCAGGGCAAGCTCAACAACACCCCAGGGAGGCCGGGCCTTGGGTGAGCTGTTCTGGGGGTGGGGCCACTGTCTGTTCTCTAATGTGGGCTGGGGTAGCTGACGGGGCACCAATGTCTAGGGACACAGCAGCAGGTGGAGCTGCTGGCTGAGTATGACAATGGCATCTAGAAGCCTGAGAGAACTGTGTGAAGCCCAGCCTGGCAACTTTGCCTATCAGGATCAACAGTTGGCAAAGACATGAGAAGCTAATTCCTTGGACTCTCTGAAATCTAGGAGTGGGAATGCTCTCTACTGGACAGGATCACTGTGTGGGCAGTGATCTCATAAGGGCCAAATAACGGTGAAAGAATGATCTAGACAAGGCTCTCCTCAGTGCCTCTCGCAGCCGACTCAGATACACCTTTGGTTTGTGAGTTTGGCAGGAAGCTCGCTCTGGGCAGAGCCCCACTGACAGCATCAGTGAGCCATCCCCACCATCTGCATGCAGGCACTGTACCTCTGCCTCCTTCACATTTTTCTGCCTCCCCTTGTCATCCACTGGAGCAATTCTCCCCACTGCTCCCTGAGTGTGATCCAAGAGTGGACATCCTGGAAGCGTATTGGAGATGCTAGGACAACTGTAGGAAGGCCCAGTTCTCTTCTCCAGACTGTGGGGCCAATCCCCTGTCTTAGTTTTGTCTCCTTGCTGAGACAAAATACCTGATGTCAAACTTAAGGAGGCAAAGGCTTATTTAGCTCCCAGTTTGTGAGGGTTTCAGTGCATAATGAGCTAGCTCCAAGTCAGGGTGGCATGGCACAGGGGAAAGTTGAAGGTGACACAAGACGGCAAAGTCAGAAAGAGCAAAAAGGGTTGAGGGGAGAGGAAAAGCCTCTTTTTCTCCCTTTTATTATAAGCAGGCTCTTCCTCCTCAGTGCGGGTGTAGCATGCACACCGTTGCCTGTCTTCCTCTTGCACAGGATGAGGATGTTTACACAGTGAGGATGTTGGCCCCCGGCTGACTTAAACTTCTAAACTTCTCCAGTCAACACAATACATCAACCACTCCAGGCACTGTGTATGGAGTGCTCAAAACTAGGGAGAGGAAACTGGCTTTTTACCTTGGATTTCATGAAGGTTTATGGCCACATGGGGTGCTGAGGCCTGTGAGGTACTGATCATGTTTCAGTGGGCTCCAGGGGTCTGGAAATGATTCGGAAAACCTGAAGAGACCAACACAGTCACCCTCCCAGCAGAGGCGATTTAGAGCAGGGAACTCAGAAGCACAGTAGATGCCCGTGTGGAGTCAGGGGTAAGAGCCTTGCAGTGGTTTCTTGGGAGCTGGGTTGAAAATTTCCTTCTGAGAAGGAAGTCCTGGCTCCTGTGAACAGAACTTCTAAATTGTGCTGTTTCACAATCTCTGGAAGTAGAAATATGTCCCTAATATACTTGGTCATCGACCTTTCTGATATCTCAAAGTGCAAATCCATTACATAACATCTCTGTGGCTTCACCATGTAGGCCAGGTCATGGTACTTTACAGACAACAATGATAGACTGTCCTTGATCGAAAAGGTACTAAGCAGGAGTGCAAGACAGTGCACCTCACTAATCATTACTTTATTGAGTAAATCATTCTCAGTGTGTGTTCTCATGTATCAGGGTGTAAAGCTCTGCCCATTCTGTGGCACATGCTCTGCCTGTACTTATTCCATCATTGAATTACATGGCCTGTGTTATAGCATCTGGGAGGCTCTGGTGTGGTCCCCATGGCTCCTGCATGCTCCTCTGCACCACTCTTTCTGTGCCTGTGTCTGCTGCTGGCATCTGGCCTTGCCCAGGCAGGCAGGCTGCTGGTGCTGCCCGTGGACGGGAGCCACTGGTTCACCATGTGCTCGGTGGTGGAGAAACTTGTCCAGAGAGGACACGAGGTGGTTGCCATCATGCCAGAACCCAGTTGGCAACTGGGACAGCCACTGAATTTCACAGTGAAGAACTATCCAGCTTCTTATACTCTGGAGGAGCTGGATCATTCATTTCGGTTCTTTGCTGACACTCAGTGGAAAACTCTGGAGCAAAGTATGTACTCTTTTTCAACAGGTTCATCCAAACTTTTGTTTGAATTCAACTTTTCACAATGTAGGAATTTGTTTAATGCAAAGGAAATAGTTGACTATTTGAAAAAGACTTCTTTTGATGCAGTGTTAATAGATCCTTTCCATGTGTATGGATTAATTGTTGCCAAGTATTTGTCCCTGCCATCAGTAGTCTTTGCCAGGGTAATATTTTGCCATCTTCTTGAAGAAGGTATGCAGTGCCCCTTTCCTCTATCTTATGTTCCCAGATTATTCTCAGGGCTCTCAGATGCCATGACCTTCCATGAGAGAGTGCAGAATCTTTTTACCCATCTCGAGGAATGTTTATTTTGTAATTATTTCCATAAAAATGCCTTAGAAATTGCTGCTGAAATTCTCCAAACACCAGTGAGCATGTATGATCTCTACAGCCAACCTTCAGTCTGGTTGTTGCGCATGGACTTTGTTTTCGACTATCCCCGGCCTGTGATGCCCAACATGGTCTTTGTTGGTGGAATCAACTGCCATGAGGGTAAGCCCTTGTTGTCTCAGGTAAGTCCTCTCTGCTTTGGCACATTCAGGGCATCAGACATTGCACAGTAATGAAAAGATTCATCTCTGTACCACAATATGTTACTTCCATTGGTCACATTTGTCCTCCTGACGCAATCAATTCTTTCATTCCAGTTTATCTAGATGCAGATTCACAGATCTCATGAAGCAGCCTTTGCTTATGTGCATGTGTATAAATTTGGTATATGAATTGCAGATCAAATTTTAATCTTGTCTTTCTCAGAAATGCTAGTGAATGGCCCATGATAATGCTCAGCAGACTAAGTGCCTGCTTAGGCAAGCACAGGCACTGGAGTTTGATCCCTGGCATCACATGCTGCGGTGGCCATGCAGGTGGATGTGCTGAGCCAGTCACCATATCCCAGTGTGGTATTGAATGCCTGCTATCCCCGTGCTAGGAGGCTGAAAACAGGAGGATCACTATGTATCTGAGCTGTGTGGTGAGCCTGTGTACCAAATATATTTAAAAGCATGCTAGTAAAAATTACACTTTAAAAAAAATTTCTCCAGTTATACTTCATTTTTAAAAATCAGCAGATAGAAGTATTTAAACTGTTTCTGCATTTTGCTTTCATGAATAGAACTTATAGTAAAGACCCTTAGCTGTTTTCTTTGCATCATTCAGTTGTATGATTCACTGGAGGGAAAGTGTACAAGAATGTATTTGTGCATGCCTTCTAATTTTGAGATTAGAACAGATACGTGTCTATCTTGTGCAAAATTTCCCATCATTGTGATTAAACAGAAATGTAAAAATACATGAGACATACTTGTCTTTACCTTGAATTTTTCACTTTCTCTTTTTATTTTTTTATTTTTATTTATTTTTTTGGAGTAATGGGATTAAAGTCAGAACCTTCTACTGAGCTATCTCCCCAGCCTCACTTTCTCATTTTAGTAGAACACTGAAAGGCCAATATTTAAACATTTCCCATGTTCTTTCAACACTTTTTAAAAAATTTCTCCAATTACACCTTATTTAAAAAAATCAGCAGATAGATGTATTTAAACTTTTTCTGCTTTTTGCTTCCTTGAGCAGAACTTATAGTAAAGACCCTTACCTGTTTTCTTTGCATTCAAATATTTCAATGATTTCTTTATGTCAATAGTGTAAAGTGCCAAGAGCAGAGTTGTTGGGTTTATGATATGCACATAGTACTTTTTTTTACATAGTAGTTTTATATTGAAGATATTTGAAAGACAATAAAATGGATACAAAACTTCTAAAGAAGATGGTAGGAAATTAAGAATGGTTATTATAGTGTATATTTTTATCTTTAAATTATTTGCTGAGATTACCTGCTATAGACCTTATTATAAACTTATTAAACAATATAAATATTTAGATTCCTTTTAATGGACTAACATTAATTATTATTATTTTTTTAATTTATTTATTTTATTTATGTGTGTGTGTGTGTGTGGCCAGCTCAGCCCACCAGGGGGCGGGGCTGGCTGGCATGTGGTGCTGGAGGATTGAACTCGGTCCCTGTGCTTTGCTTAGCTTGTTCTAAGTAGGTGCTTTAGACCACTGAGCCATCTCACCAGCCCCTAACATTAATTATTAATGCAATTATCTTAACTATCTTGTGTATATATAGTCCATATATAGTATATTATATATGTAGTATATGCATAAATTCTTTCCCTGTTTGTTACATTGATTCCTAATATTTCAGCTTTTTGGATGCTGTTGGGAAAAGTGTGGCTTCCTTTATTTCTTTCTCAGTGAGTTTGTGGTTCATTTTTACATAGTACTTTTATATTGAAGATATTTGAAAGACAATAAAATGGATACAAAACTGTGTATTTTTGTGTTGGCTTCGTATCCAGCTATGCTACTGAATGTGGTTATGGAATCTAGAGTCTTTTGGTGGAATTGTTTGGGTCTTCCTATGTAGAGTATCATATCATCTGTTAATAATGACAGTTTAAATTCTTCCTTTCCTACTTTTATTTCTCTCTCTTGTCTAAGGGCTCTGGCTAATAATTCCATGACCATATTGATTATGAGTATTGATAGTGGACATTCTTGTCCTGTTCCTGACTTTAGGGTGAAAGCTTTTAGTTTTGTTAGTTCAGTGTGATATTGGTTGTTGACGTGTCATAAATGGACTTAGTCAGGTTGAGGTAAAGACAATCTAGTACGGATTTCTGTGGGGTTTTTGTGAGTGTTGGACATTGAGCTTTTTCTGCACAAATCATTTGATTTTCGCCTTGGCTTTAGTGATATGGTGTATTACGTTTATTGATTTGTGTGTGTTCAACCATCCTTACTTTCCTAGGATAAAGCCAACTTGGTCATGGTATATAATCGTCTTGATTTTCTGCATTCTGTTATTCTTTAATAATCTGAGAAACTGCTTTTATATGCTGCATGATCTCTCCTTAATATCAATTTTATTTAAGAGTTATAGTTTTCATATGGTTCTCTGGCTGCGGGTATTGTCTAATGTTTTAAATATTCTTAATTTTCTGAACAAAAATTTGTGTGTGGTTAGTGTAACTTCTAAATTCGAGTACTATTGTTAGGTTTGCCTTCATATTTCTTCTTTTGTTAATTATGTATCCATGCTTCTATTTTATTATTTTTAAAGAACTCTTTTTTTTTTTTTTTTTTTTTGCAGAACCGGGGATTAAACTCAGGCCCATGTGCTTGCCAGAGAAGCACTTATTCCGCTGAGCCATCTCCTCAGCCCCGTTATCCATGCTTTTAAAAGTTTGACAAGTTATTGTATAAAAATAGCTTTAGGCTCATACATATTAGGAATTTCAACACATAGTTTTTTTGTCAATGCATTATAAACATTCTTTCATTGGCTTTTTCATTTTTTGGTTGTATAGAAGTTTCATTTTTCTCTATTTAAAGGGGTTAACTTTTATTTAGTGCTTTTCAGATTTCAATTTCTTTAAATATTCTCAAACCTGAGATATGGAAATATGTTCCCTACTTGATATTTTCATTTTTAACATTTCTCCAGGGTCAATGCCATTTACTTTTTACAATTAGACTTTGAAGTAATCCAGGGGGATGACTGTATTTTATGTATTTTCTGTAAGTATAATTGACCATGTCAATATCATTTAACGTTACTGTTCTCACTCTTGGAAGAGAAGTATGTTTTTATCTCATTTTTCTTTTCTATATGCTTTGTGTCTGTCTCTCATCACTCACTTTAATCCCTGTCCTTCTTTGCTATTTCTTTTCCAGAATCTTAGTTTTATTAAGTGATGAATTTTAATGTCTGGTAGTGACATGCCTGCATTCACTGCTTAATATTTTAGATTTGGTATCATGGTTCTGTCAGTATATGCTCCTTTGCAAGATTTGAAGTTGGCTTTCTTATTTTCTTTTATGAGCTTGTGAGATTTATTAGGTTAAAATCCATCTTCAGCAAATAGTCTATCCCCTTAAAGTAATAGTGCTGGAATTAACCAACTTGGTGTCCCTATTAGGACCCTCCTGGGCTATTTGTCTATAATAGAGTGGGGGCTGATTTTTATCTCAGGAACCTTGCAGTTCAGCCTTGAGTGGTTGTGGAATCCTGACCTTGGGTGAGAGAGAGTGGAGGCAATTTCCTCCCTCATGAACCCAGGTGCAAAATGTGATGTTCAGGAGGAACGAAATCCACAGCCCCCTGCAAGGACCTTGGTCCATGGTTCTCTCTCTGCTCCACCTCCTACAGGTTCCATGACCTTTTGTATACCCAACATGGGTCCCCGTTTTTAGCATGTTGACCTTTAGAGTTTGTTTTTCTAAGCCACAGAAGTACTTGCTTTGCTTTTTTAGAGGATGTACTTCAAAAACATGTGTAACAATACTGTAGATGTAGGTTGTTGAAATTTGGATTTGAGTATACCTAAAGAAATCTTAAGAAATAAATGTGTAAAATTGTAGGTGAATGCATACTAGTTTCATTTAGATGAAGCCCTTAATACCTTTTACTGAAGTGAAACATGAATTCTCACTAGGTTGTTTTATCTTTTTTTTTTTTTTTAAGAACTAGGGATTGAACTCTGGCCCTTATACTTGCCAGGGAAGCACTTATTCTACTAGGCCGTCTCCCCAGCCCCTTAGGTTATTTTATCTTCATACACATTGAGTTGTTCTTATAGCTGAACTCTGCGATGTAGTAGTAGGGTTCTGAGGTGAGATCTATTAAATCAATTAGTGGGAAAGTGAAAGAACTTAAATCTATACTGTAGGGTGACTACAGTTTTAGGTGCATCCATATTTTAGTTGTCTTTCTACTCTTGGCAAGACCTGGACCCAAAGAAACTGAAACTGGTCATAAAATGTCCGTGTGCTCAGTGGTCTTTCATTGTGGTGCTTACTCACAGGTGGCCCCTGAAGCTTCCTAAACCAAAAGCAAGTTCACTGTGGCTCACTGGGTCACCCTGAGGGGTTTATTTATTTTTTTCCATAATTTTATTGAGAAATAAATAGCAATGAGGCAATTTCAAATCAAATTGTTAGGACAGTTCCAATAATTAACACATTGCATACTGCCTTCCTATTGGTTATTTGTTGTACAAGATGCAGACATGATATCCTATTTACAAACACAATTAGAACAAAATCTCTCTGTTCCTTGAATTAAAAGAATGTAGCTATATATCTAACCTAACCATTTTGAATATACAGATACAAAATGGTAATTCATCTATATCCTCTTTTCTTGTTCAGTTCCATCATTTAAATATTATAGGTATTAGTGCAGGGACAATTGAATTTTGTTTGCTTTTATATGATGAAAATGCCATTTTTAAATGTTTGTCAGAAAGAATGAAAAATTGTTGGGATGAAGGACTTTGCAGATTGCTGTA